ACTGTGCAAGAATATAAACCCAACTCATTTTGCCCAAAAAAATGGACTTGACCGGTTTATGTATTGGACCCCTCAATCTTTTACCATTGCAACAAATAGTATCCGGATACGTAATGTTTTAGGATCATCATAGACGTGTTGAGGCAGGCATCGAAAGCGTGCGTACTGAAGCGAAAATTCAACAAAGCCGGGCTATTGATACGCCAAGCGGTGACGTTGCATCGGAGCTGTACCTTGAGGATGGTCATCCTTATTTCGCAGACGCCCTCACCGATTACGCGTTCTATTTGCTCAATTCCGATTCTGTACAGGAGAGCGTTAAGGTGTACGATAAGGCGTTGAGCATCAAGAAGGAGTGTTCGAGAAAAATAACATTCATGTGGCGTTAGGGCACGAGGATTTGGCGTATGCGCTCTATGTGAACGAGTATAGCTCTGGCAGGTTTTATCACGCAAGGTAAGTTGGTTTTTCAGTATAAATTTTGATAATCAAGATTTTTATGTAAAAAATTTAAACAGTACTGAACGTTCATGGTCTATGGCAAAAAGTTAATGACTACACAAGGATTACAAACTTTTCACGAACTAAGATCGATTTAATAATAACCAATGAACAGAATTTGAGTATTAAGGTTTTACATACTCCAAAAATAAGCGACCATACGTGGACATGTTTCGAGGTGGAAAATATGTTTAATGAGAGAGAATCTTTGAAACTTTACGAGAGTCACTCTTACAAGCCAATATCACTGACATTTTTAATGATGCTGACAGTTACTTCTCAAACATTATGGATTGTATGGAGAACTGCATGAGAGACGCACAAAATGAGGAAAGTGGTATATCAAGGAAAACCCAACACTCTGGTTTTCACAAATATTTCTAGACTCTAAATTGATGCGTGATAATGACTATAAAAAGTTTATGATCACTCAACTGAGGAAGATTGATACAATATAAGAAATCAAGAAACAAGTGTTAAACAAATCTTAGGAACGAAAAGAAAAAATATGAAAACAAAATCGATAGCAATAAAAATAACAGTAAATGATGTGGAAGACACTAAAAAATATTGTATCTCCCAGTAGGAAGAATGAATTATCAAGAATGTGCTTCAAAGGTGGTATAGTAACACAGCAAATATTGATTGCAGAACGAATGAACGCTTGTTTTATAGAAAGTATAAATGAGATACTGGAATGAATCAAAGATAGGGATCCAAATCTATGTCACATGCAAGTTACTTATGATTCTTCTATGAGACAATTCCACACAATAAATATCAGCCATCTTTCAAAAGCTATTACAAGATTGAAATCGAATAGAAATTCTAATGAACATCTTTCAAAAATGTTATGCAGGAATGTTTCAAACATTATTGGAGAGAAGTTATTATTGTTAGTGAATCACTGTTTAGTGTATGGCGAATTTCCTTCAAAATTAAAATGTTCTACAATTACTCCTGTCCCAAAAGTGCAAAATTCTTATGATTTTATAAGCTCTTAGAAGGAATCATATATGAACAAAAAAAGTAAAATTCTTTTTTTTATTCTACTGAAACAACAATTCAAATGGTAGTAGAAGAATGAAGGCGAAATATGGATGAAAAAAAGTTTGCAGTAACATTGCTCTTAGATTTCAAGAGAGCATTTGAGACTATTGACAGGGAGAAATTGTTAACGAAATTGCATTGCTACGGATTTCAAGGTTCAATATTTAACTTATTACAAAATTATTTAAAGTTAAAGAAACTAAAATTGGCAATACATTATCAAACATTAAAAACATTTCGGTAGGTGTGCCACAGGGTAGCAAATTAGGTAAATTACTATTTATTTTATATAATAACGATATTCCTGATATTTTTCAACACTGTAAATTCAACTATATGCTGATGATAACATTAATATATATATATGAAATAAAGACATTGAAACTGCAATAGAGCTGTTAAATAATGATATGAAAAACGCAATAAATTGGTTAATTGTAAATAAACTTAAACTAAACACAAACAAAACAACATATATGCTAATAGGAAAATCTTTAGATCAAAATACGATAAATCTTACAATTAATCATGAAAAAATTGTGTCAATCGAATCATGTAAATATTTTATTCTAAAAAAATTGTGTACAACACTATCATTCTTCCTCATTAATTATATTGTTCGACTATTTTGTTCACTGCAAATGAAACTGTATTTTCAAAATTCCAAATATTACAAAATAAAGCTATGAGAATCATCTTAAATAAAAATAAATTTATGAGAATAAATTTTATGCTGAAAGAACTGCAGTGGTTAAATATCAAAAATTTCATAGTCTACTTGGTTTTCATTTTTATATTCATCTACCAAATCACTTGGAAAATTTGATTGTATTGAACAATGAGTGCCACAATTATTCTACTAGAGGAAGTATAGACTTTCATTTACAAAACTGCAGTAGCAGTATAACGAGCAAGTCAGTATTTCAAAAGGGATTGTACGAATTTAATAAATTAAGTAATGATATCAAGATGTGTGTCAGTTTGAAAATGTTCAAAGGGAAATTGAAAAAACCAGAATTCATAGTAGAGAAATTTTGTATAAAAATATGTATGTTTGTGATAGACTGTATAATATGGATACTACGAATATTGTAGCATTAATGCTAAATAAATCTGAAATAAACAAACAAATAAAGCAAGATCTGGACTGTGAGGAGGGTGCTCAACAAGTTTCGGTCCAGCAGTGGTCAAGTACTCGGAGCAGGCTTTGGCGCTGTGAGTTGGAATGTTGTAATGGTGGAGGTGTCAAGTATTCATTCTTGATTTTGGCCGCAGGTTTTTCATAGACTCTATGACTTTAGGCAGGCACTGTTCCGTGTACCACTTAGCTGAGACTGTCTTCTGTGTGTCCAAAACGACACACTCTATCTACAATCCCGCTCGATTTGAAAAATACAGCTATCATTTTTCTCTTAAAAGATCGGGATTTTCTGGCAGCTACGGGTCTGTCCTCGTCACCAAAGACCCAAACCTTGTTTTGAGCTTTGGCCGGCACATCGAAATAATAGAGCGAAATCTCGACACCTGTCACGATGCTAATCACATACCGAGATTGCCCCTTATCAATCATCTTCAGTCTCTTTCGCCAAAATTCGTACGACGAGTCCTCTGCTCTTCCGTCAGACTACGCGGTACTCTGACAGAACAAAGTTTCCTTACGTGTAATGCAGAATTGAACGAATTGCTGGTGCATGAAGGTGTAAGAACACCTCTATCTGTTGGTATGTCACTCTCGGGTCTTCGTCAAGGATTTTCCTCACAGCAGTGATGTTTTCCTCTTCCATCCCTTTCCGCGTCCTCCAGAGTGAAATTGCCTCTTTAAAATTCTCTGCACCAGCTTAATATAGTCGTACGATGAATACAATCATCCTTTAATAAAAGTATCATTTCTTCTAAGCTCTAGTCTATGCTTAAACCACGCGTAAAGTTATGCCACGATGCCATAGTCCGCACTGTCAATACGAATGAACAACTAAATTAACAGGCTTGCTGCACTCATGCACATGTCTCAACATGCTGTAACATGCAGCCTCCTGCGTCCGTGTGTTAAGTCATATTGCAGAACTTTTATAGTCAAGTTAGTTACAAATGTTCACTGGATCTTAGCTCATTATGCCTTCTTCTCTTTCAGAGAAAACGCAGAACGATCTATACGTATCATGGAGCGCATACTGCCGAAAGACCATCACTTGCTCGCCTCGGTGAAGCGGGTCAAAGCGTTGATCCTGGAAGAGATTGCCCTGGACGAGCAAGGCAACATGTACCTGCAGCTGCAGTATTTGGAGGAGGCCGAGCAATTGCACAGGGCCGCACTTGCGCTTTCGCAAAAATCGTTCGGGGAGGATAACGTCCAGACCGCCAAGCATTACGGAAATCTGGGCAGATTGTACCAGAGCATGAAGATGTACGATGAAGCGGAAAGGATGCACGTGAAGGCCATTATGATTAAGGAGGAGCTGCTGGGAAAGGACGATTACGAGGTTGGACTGAGCACTGGCCACTTGGCGTCCTTGTATAACTATCACATGAAGAGGTATGCAGGTCTTTACTTGGAAGTCTTCAATTTACAGTAATGGACAACAGTATATAGACAAATATGAATATTTACCTAAATACCCTTAGAAAACGAACTCATACTGCATTGCTCCAGAAACAAATGCGTTATTAGTAGAAAAACTAAATTCCTTGTTTTTACATTATCTGCAATAAACACAATACAAGTCGGAATATAAGCACTTTTTTATGAGGGACAAAAATATGTAGACAAATTGTTTTCAACATTAGTTTAGTACAGTTTCGTGTCAGAAGAGGATTATTTTGTGTTCATCAAGTATTGGGGAATAAGATGAGTGATTTTAAGACCATGCCGCGTAGTCCAGAAATTTCTTTCGAAGTGAAAACTAAGATCATTGAGTTATACAAAGATGGTCAACGTCAAGTCGACATTGCCAAAAATAGGAAGCTGAAGCGTAAAGCAGTTTGGGCAGTATTGAACAAATATAAGCAAAGAGGTATCTTGGAAGCCTCTAAGAGAAGTGGTCGGCCTATAAAAATAAACGCTTGATCAGTTAGATTAATAAAAGTAATTTCGTCAAAAAATCCGTTTAAAATCCCAAGACAAATAAAAACCGAAATCGAGACAAAAGGAATTGTCAGTGTTTCTACGAAAACTATAACTAGAAGATTTAATGATTTGAAGTTAGAAGCCGCTAATCTCGAGGAAAAACCGTAAGCGGTGGCCGCAGTAGTAGACTCTTCGGTCTCCTGATTAGTCGCCGTGCGCTGTGCGGGTTCGAGTCCCGTCCCAGGAGAAATTTTTCTCTTGGCTATGGATGTTGTGATTGTCCGTAGGTGGTAGCCGGTCTCTGACTGTCGAACGTGGAGGTACCACCCGGCGGATCTCGTAGGCGGAGCCAGAATGTGTGCATGTTACATGCACACGTGTTCCCTCGCCAGAGTCCGTGTGGCGTCCCCCTTTCCCCTATAGCCCCACGGTACCCAATGGGTGTTTAGGCCTTCGTGGTAGTTGGAGTATAAAAAAAAAGATTACAATTTGCACGGTTGCATGTTGATTGGAGCATCTGTGACTGGAAGAAGGTATGTTTCAGTGACGAATCCAAGTTCAATATGTTTGGATCAGATGGTGTTCATTACTTTAGACGTCCTAGTGGACAAAGATTGAACCCCAAGTACACTTTGCCCACTGTCAAACATGGAGGCGGGTCTGTTATGGTTTGGGGGTGCTTTTCGGGGTTTGGGATGGGACCTTTACATAGAATAGATGGCATTATGGATAAGTTTGTATACACAGCATGTCATGTTACCCTATATGGAAGACAATATGCCTTTGAGATCAATCTTCCAGCAAGATAATGACCCGAAGCACACTTCAAATCTCGCAAAGAAATTATTTCTGGATGAAAAAATACCAGTTCTCAAATGGCATTCACAGTCTCCCGATATAAATCCCATTGAAAATCTATGGGAATACTTAGATAAGCAAATACGAGATACAAATTATTCAAACAAGGATGAACTTTTTGCCGCTTTACAGCAAAAGCGGAGACTGATTGATGAATCTTATATCAACAAATTTCTACAATCTATGCCGATACGATGCCAGGCGGTGATTGATAATAATGGTTATGCTACAAAATATTAACACAAACAGGGTTTTCTATAATTCAATGAACTTTGCTTCTTTTTTCTATAATTGTTTTGCTTTCTCTATATATTTTTGTCCGTCATAGTTCCAGTTTTTTTCAATTAATTTTTTATTGAAATGAGTCTAATGCATATTTATGTATAAGTGAGTATTATGCTATAACGAATTATATATACAGATTGGTGTATTAATAAAACAAGTTAAAAAAGAAATACAGCACAACATTGATTTGTCTATATACTTTTGTCCGTAACTGTATATGGCCATAGAAAGTATTTCGACTGTCAACTTTAAAATAAAGTCGGTTCAGACGCTTAGGTCTAAAAATATACGAGTGTTATCTCAAAAATATGATTCCCAACGCTGTGACTTTGCCGCGCGTGATGCTAGCCGAAATCTGGCAACACCGTCGTGTTTGTCAACTCCCCCACCACCGATCCCAACAAGAAGCGCCTATTTGCGATGTTCATCCGATTTTTGCACGTAAAAACGTTACCACCCATAGAAATTCATCGCCACTTGAGTGAAGCTTGTCGGAAAGTAACGAGCTTTATTTTTTTCAAAATTTATTGTTCATTTAAGTAAATAAACTCAATATTCTTCGAAGTACCACCCTTCTGCGTCGATGCACTTTTGCCAGCGTGATTTCCAAGCCGCGTATGTTCCCTAGAACTCGACTGGGATGCTGTTAAGGGAGGTCGTCAAAGAAGCTTGAATGTTGTCTAGGGTGTCCAGATGCTGTCCCTTGAGGTCCCTTTTTCAGATAGCGACTGTACGGTGGCTGGGGCTCCGTCGTGACACCGATCCGGGTCAAGTTTCTAAACCGGCTGTCCCAACTAGCAAAGTAGTGGTATACGCTTTTGGTAAAAGGACCGTTGAGCCATAAAAGCTCTCTATTGTTGTTGCCTGAACACCAAAATGCTGGCTTAATGTTGTGTGGAATGCAAATTTGCTTTCTGCAACATATTTGCTCTAAAATGAGGTGTTTAAAATATTCTTATAGCATAGTTGTACAACACCTTATAGGGCAAATTGTTAACTGTTGCATAAACGTTTATACAACTATTTTATACGGCATATCTGCAAGTTAGTCAAAATGGTTGTGTTGTGGCACTCATGCTAACGTTTATAAAACAAACCCGAGCCTTGTTGCTTTGCTGTGCAATTCACTACATCAGTCAACAAATTGCTCCCAACGGAAGCATTTATACAACTGTTACATATGCTAAATATGTTGGTAAACAACTTCACCATAACCTAACTTTCTGCTGTCATATTCTTGTTAAAATGCCATAACCAATATTTTAAAACAAACAACGCATGCATATCAGTTCAAAAGGTTTTATCAACTGTTCAAACAGAAGATATAGATCTGGTACAAATTCTGTGTAAATCATTCGACTCTGTCCGTATTTCATTTCGGACATTTGTCAAATTGTTGTATAACACCTGCAGGCAACACCAAAATATTCTAATAACCTAAAGACAACATGGACGATGCCATGATTGTACACAACCACCCGCCATATTGGGCAAACATTTATTCCTCTATTTAATATTAAATAATTGTTTCAGTTCGAAATTACAGATATAAAGTGATAAACATTAGTGCAATTGTGTCTAAATATAGGATTTGTGGAAGATTTAACGCAGATAAGTTCAGTTTTCCATCTTAAAAATCTTTTGAACATTGTCAAAATATGAATCAAATACGAAGCCCGTAGAAATTGGGTAACTAATTTGCACGATAATCACAATAAAATTTGCTGCGCAAGTAATTAAATAGCCCTATATCAAAGTGTAGAAGTTTATCATATACCTGTGTATGAAATTCACAATGGCCGATATGTAAGTAAACAAGATGACTGTAATGTGTTAGTTATATATTCTTCACTTCGTCTATACAATACATAGGAAATAGTTTGGTTGCAATAAAGTAGAATCAAGTAAGAGAATAGTTGTATAGTTGACAAAAACTGAATCTTGCACTGACGCAAATGTCCTATAGCGGCTGCAAGAGGCTTTCACTTTTGTTTTATAACTGTTACCTGCAGCCCTTATACAACCTCTTAAATGACTGAAGTGTCCTATTAGGTGTGCCCATTCCGCTTGTATAGCTGTTCTAAGAGGGTTTTGCTAATGTTCTTACAGTATACAATGCTGTTTAAGGAATACTGTATAATTATTCTTGCAACTCTGATAGGAGTGATAATTGTTAGTTGGGTGGCCGCGGACTTCCTTGAGGCGGGAGTGAAAAAATGGATTCCGAGTCTAAAAAAATGCGTAGAAAAAAAGGCGACTATGGAAAAAAATAGCTCAAAGATCAACGTTTCCGTTTTTTCAAATAAAAATTCTTTGTGTGGGAACCATATTTTTGAAACAACCCTCGTATTTGACACTACTAAACTTAAAACTTTAACAATCGGTAATTGTATCATCGTGGCGTTCACGTTCGAAGTTGACGTTGAAATGAATTCATGCTATCTTGTTTCAGGTATAGGGATGCTGAAAAGTTGTACCTTCGCTCACTAGAAATAAACTTGAGACTGTTCGGAGAGGCGTATTCAGGCTTGGAATACGATTATAGAGGTTTAGTGAACGTATACGCGAAACTGCTCGAGCACGAAGGCGTTATCAACTACAGTCTCAAAATGACCGAGTGGCAACGATTGAGAGAAGAACCGAAGAGTCCCGAACAGAATTTGGAACCGCAACCGTTGAAACAGATATTAGAAAATTATTTCAACTCCATGGAGTGATTGTTATGTTGATTGTTCATTTGCAAACTGCCCTTTTAGTAAGATAGAATTAGTACAAAAATGTTATTATTTGACGAGTATACGCTCCCATGGAGGGATTCTGAAATCGTAAGATAAAACTACTGCGATGATATTTAATTGTTTTATGACAAATGACGCTATTATTATTCTATATTTATTTCTCAACAGAATCGTAAAATGCATTTTTGATTCAAGTATTACTGAATTTAGCCTCGAACAACAAACACTACGCCTGCACGGAGTCGAATAAATCAGCTGGACTGTTAACGATACTATGTTTCTTGTACTATAAATACAGATGCCGCGTGTTATCGTCGCTACTTTCTATTTTGCACCACTGTTTCTAATTATAATAATATCATGGTGTTGTCATTATACCCCATTCCTAGTCCATTTACGCTCAAACAAAACACAACATGCCCTAAAGCGAGAATGTACAGGACCGTATTTTCCTCAATGATTATTTTTATAGAAAGAACTACACATACTTTTCACAATTCTTTATTCGCCGGAAGTACTTAAATCATCGTCTGAATGGTTAATATTAATTATTTATTACAGGTTCAATTTGAATATTGATCATATTGTCCAGGTTGTCTCTTGAACGTGACGGATGCAGTCTTTCCAATGGTTTGCCGTCACTCTGTTGACCGCTTCATAAAACAAATTTTTCACGTCCGAAAATTTGAATGTTCTATTGGCATAGTTTTTTATATTTGTCCAAATCATTTCAGCGGGATTTAATTCGCAGTGATAAGGGGGTAGCCTTGGATTTGAATGTTCTATTGTTTGATGCCACATAGTTTTTTATATTAGCCGAAATCATTTCAATGGGATTTAATTCGCAGTGATAAGGGGGTAGCCTTGAATCGGTCTTATTTTGGTTTTTCGCCATTTCGTCGATAACATTGAGATTATATTTTTATTTCTGCTACCTGACTAGATGGGCAAGTTCTGCTTTGACCATATTTTCACTGATACTAATGTCTTTTGACAGGAGCCATTGTCGAATTTCTGCCTTTCTTGTGGACATTGTGGGAATTTTTTCTAGTTTTCTAGTGTGGTATGAGGCGTTATCAAGTACAATGACGGCATTGTCGTCAAGCTTTGAGAGCGTTCAAATGAACTCGCGTCCATTTCTGCATGGTAGTCGGTCCTTTTCTTTAAGTCAAATGCCCATAAAGTAGTGGGCACAAAGCCATCTTCACTGCCAATGTGATAGATAACAAATCGTTTTTCTTTTCCTGGAAATAATTATTTCATATAGTATTCAAGAAAACTAATAATGTCACAAGGAGAGTATCTAACAGTTTTTGGTTCCAAATCGACCAGATAAAGCTAAGTTTTCAGCGTGGGCTCATAGATTCAGGTTGCTTGACACCATTTTTACAACACAAATGACGAATTAGTTAGATACACGTACCTGACGGATTCGTCAGGTCAGTGGTTATTCCATCTAAGAAGGCTTATCTTGCTGATTTAATTGTAGATTCAGCCCATACTTTAGGTTTTGTATGTCCTGCATTTATCCAGGTTTCATCCAAGTAATGAATCTTCCTGCGCTGGTCGCGATATTTCTTTATTGATTTTAAATAATTTCTTCTTCATAAAATAATCTTTTGGTTGGCCATCAAAATACTATTTCTATACTCCAAATGAAGTTCTTTGAGTGAACTATAGAATGTGGTCCTTTTGAAAGTAGGTAAGTCTTCATCACTAGTAACCTCCTGTAATACTTTGTCTATGGTGGGAAGTTCCTGTCTTTCAAAAAATTGATGGACTTTGCGTCGGATGGCATTCTGATCAAAGTTATCAACTGTATCCAACAGCTTCGTGTAATGCACCCTCTTGGGTGGTGGAGACAATTTTTTTTTATATTCTTTAATGTTGAAAATTTTCTTAGGACGTGAGCCTCTTTCACGTCTTTGAATATCATGAATAACCATTTCAGGATGCTCTAACATATCGCTGTTATAATAATAATAATAATAATAAATGGCCTTTATTCGTCACACGATTACAAAATAATTGATTTAAAAGGAACAGTGACGAAAAGGTGGAGTGTCAGCTTATGCTGTTTTTCAACCCGACCTGGAAAACATTGACACAAACTATAGAGAGAGAGAGAAAAAAAAAACTTAGAATATAACACTTATCAGAGAAAGGAAACAATCAATTACCTGTGGATATGCATAAAGTAAAATTTTAGCCATCCGACTGCTTTAAACTCATCTTTAACCTTTTTTTAAAATTGCTTAGGCTATATTCTTTATACTCACTTGATAAGCAGTTATATAGTTTGGGTGCCCAGTACGAGAAACTGCGTGTGAACAATGCTGTCGAATGCCGCGGGATAAGTAAGATGAGTTTATTCCTAGAGGATCTTTGATCGTACTGGCAGAGGAGGCTTAGTTTTGTATAAAGATAATATGGCGCTTTAAGGATAAGGGTCTTATGTACCAAAGATAGGCAATGCAGTTTCCTCAATTTGTTCATCTTAAACCATCCCGATTGGTCAAAAGCGCTACTAATATGATCAAATTTACGGATTCCATAAGAAAATCTGATGCATGAGTTTTGTATCATCTGAATCCGCTCGGCATCACGTTGTAAAAGAGCAGGTCCATAAACAGAGTCACCGTAAGATAATTTTGACAGGATAAGGGACTCGCAGAGTTTAAGCTTGAGCTGTGTCGACAGGACACTTCGACCCGGGTATAACTGACGAAGCACATTATAGGACGCATTGCATAGTTGGTTAACATGTTTAGTGAAGCGTAGCTTGCAGTCAAACCAGATACCAAGGTTTTTGCATTCGTTTACGAGGGATATGTCTTCATTATTCACCATAATATTAATGCGATATTGATTTATTTCACGATTCTTTTTGGGCCCAAATAAAATGCAGCATGATTTGCCAGGATTTAGTTTTAGATTGTGAGCACTAGATATGTCAAAAATAGACTGCAGGTCTTGATTTATTTGATGTTGGCCAAGCATATATTCATCAGGATCGAAGCAGTTATAAAGTTGGGTATCATCGGCGTAATGATGAACGATTGAGTTGCTGGCGGTTTCATGAAAATCACATATATAAAGAGCAAATAAAAGGGGACTCAAAATAGATCCTTGAGGGACACCAAAATTTCTGAATAAAGAAGTTGATATATTGTTTTCATATATGACAGACTGTGAGCGATCAGTTAAAAAGCTCTTAATCAGCGTGCAAGCCGATGATGACAGGCCAAAGTATCTAAGCTTTTTACAGAGAATATTTGGGTCAACCGTTATAACGTTAAGGATAATTTCTTTTGCCTGAATATTCGAATGTTCCTTCTTGTTACGTTTTCGGGGAGGAGACATCAATGAAGAGGAATGATGGCTGAAGGAAGCATTGGTAGAAATATTCTGTTTCATCTGCTGTATCCGCAGACGACTTGCTAACATATGAGCCTGAGTTCCATCCTGTTGAATCCTGCACTTGCTCGTAATTTTATGGCCGCGCGGCGTCTTTGTTGTGCCGGGGCGTAAATGGACTACGAATAGGGTATAATTTGTGGAATCATACCTTTATAATCATAATGTTCTTTGTTAATATATTTTATAGGAATTGTAAGTGTAAACAAGCTAATTCTATCTCACTATCTTTTAACTAGTCCCGTATGAGTGCGATCCGAAGAATCTTTATTTTTTTTATGCACCGAAATCTTCGATTCGCCTTTAGATTAATGACAAATTCCTTTTTTATGTATTTTATTTTAAATGTTAATCGTCTATTTTAAAAGTTGATTATGAAATAATATATATTATCCATCAGATAAGTAGTTTCTTTGAAATGACCGGGATCTGGATAGTTATCCAGGTATTATGCCCCATATACAGGGTGTTCGAAAAATAGACGGAGATATTTTAGAGGGTGATTCCTTGTTAAAAAATATGAAAAAAAGTTTCTATAAACATTCGTCCGGAAATGCAGAGTTTTCAAGATACGTGGTGATAAATTAAATTTTTTGATTTATTAATATCTTAAAAAATATTTCCAGATTTCTGATGAAATTTGGCAATATTATTTGTTTAATTAAGAGACTAATTAATAAATTAATATTACAGCAGACGCTCGATAACGTAAACACGGGATAATGAAAACTTGCGCTAATGTAAACACAAACTTCGTTCTATAGGATCAAACGGAACGCGCGATAACGTAAACAATGTGTACGCTCGATAACGTAAACAACTCTCGGCGCACGGAAACAGCGCGACGGTAAAATGCTGAAGCCTCGATGATTTATGTCGGGGAGTCCCCGATTTATGATGTAGAGTGTAGGGGATTCACCTCTGCGATAAAATACGACAAACTCGGTCAGTCGTATGATCGTTTAGGATACGTTTATACGTACGTATGTATTTCATTTTTGAACTTAAGTGAATACATTGCACGCGTTAATATATTTTACGACTATGGCATCCACATCCTATAAAAGAAAGTATTTAAAGTTGAGTGAGAAAGTGAAAATCATATCATATATCAGTTAGCAAAAAAATATGGAGTATCGAAAGCAACAATCTGTAAAATTAAGCGTATGAAAACTCAAATTTTACAAAGAACGTGCAATACACTTGGAGGTCCGGGAAAAAGAAAAACTTAAAAAAATGCGAAGGCACCTAAAATGGAAAATTCCCTGTATAAGTGGTTTTTAAAACAACGGGAAAATCATGTGCCAGTTAGTGGCGAAGTACTTAAACAGAGAGCGAGACTGTTAAATGAAAAACTGAAAGAAACTGAAAATTTCGTAGCTAGTGATGGCTGGCTACAACGATTCAAAACAAGATATGGAATTCGACTGCTGTCTATATCTGGTGAAAAATTATCAGCACAACCACAATTAGTGCAACCATTCAAAGAAAAATTGATGAAAACAATTACCGAGCTAGATTTAAGAATGGAACAAATTTACAACGCAGATGAAAGTGGCCTTTATTGGAAAATGTTACCTGAGAAAACCTATGCTGCATCATTTGAAAAATCTGTCCCGGGAAGAAAGCCGGAGAAACAACGAATAACGTTTCTAGCCTGCACTAATGCTAATAGTTCACACAAAATAAAGCCACTGGTAATTGGGAAAGCAAAAAATCCGCGGTCATTTAAAAATGTTAATATCCCTGTTGATTCTGACGGTTCAAAAACCGCTTGGATGACTAGCAGTATATTCCTGAAATCGTTCCACAGGTGCTTTGTCCCTCAGGTATGACAATCAATTATCACAAATGCTCTATTCATAATTTGAAGATGTGTTTTCAATTTGTAGGTAAAAGGTTTCCTAAAACAACAGAAGCTTCCAATAAAAGCGTTGTTACTATTGGATAATGCACCAAGTCATCCTCCCGAGCAACAACTGAGGAGCAGGGATGGGTCAATTTTCGTCATGTACATGCCGCCCAACGTAACACCGTTAATTCAACCGATGGACCAGAATATAATAAGACTCACCAAACTATACTATAGGAAGTTTCTACTTTCGTCTGTCTTATCAAGAAATCCTGAAAACTTATCTGAGTCTTTAAAAAAAGTAACATTACGAGAAGCTGTTTTAGATTTACATATGGCCTGGAAGGAACTTAACCAGCAAACTATTCAAAAATGTTGGAACAATCTCTTTTGTACCAATAATGAAGATGATGAAGAAGACGATGTCCCCTTAAGCGTAATTAGAGAACGTTTGCGATCCAATAATGATAATGTTATTAGTGTGTCATTGGATGTTGTTGATTTATTGAAAACAGTGAATCCCAACATTGTTTGTACTCCTGCTGATATTAATTTATGGAACGAAGATAAGCAGACGAATGATGCTGATAAGGAGGAGGAGATGGATAGTGAGGATGATGAGAACGATCCCATTGAAGTCAGAAGTGTAGTGACTGACGCGCAAGGTATACAAGTTTTTAACCAAGCTTTAGATTGGGCTGAAAGAAAAGAAATTTCATACACGGATATTTTAGTTCTTCGTAAATTACGGGCGCAGGCATTGGAAGACAATGCTAAGCGCAAATTTACGCAGACAAAAATTGTTAATTATTTTTCTTCTAATTAAAAAAATACTTATCGCTGTTAGAATATTTGTTTATTTTGTTATACATAGTATGTATTAAACGTTGCTTTTAATAAATCAAATATTATATAAATCACGTTCGCTAATGTAAACATTTCGGTAATGTGAACCACACTTGGATTAAATTAGTTTACATTATCGAGCGTCTGCTGTATTATGTTCAGTGGCGTCCCGTGGGGCGCCTGAACGAATATTATTGGAAAAGAATGTGCGCCACTGCCTTTTTGTAACTTTAGTATTTGTTGTTTGATTAAGCATCTAAAAATACTCGTATCTCATTTCGTTTTCGAAAAAAAAACGTTTTATTGCATTACACAGGACAAAATTGGTATAATAATTTTTGCTAAATAATCACAGGTGTATTTGAAAACAAAAAATTAAAAAAAATTTCTTCGCTAGCATTTTAGATTTTATTTCTTAATTCTTCTATTGTTTCTTTCGGAGTAGCGTAAATCATCGTCTTAAGGTGTCCCCATAAATAAAAATCTATTGGATTAAAGTCAGGGGAGCGAGGTGGCCAGTGAATTGGACGCGCATATGTCAAACCTGCATGCAGAAATTATTTTTTTGTTTTCCAAGGCACTTTTTTTAGCAACAATTAATAGACCAATTTTGTCCATTGTCATGCATCAAAATGGTTTTAATTTTTTTCCTTGAAAAAAAATACAAGAAGTTATATTTTTAGATGCTTAATCCAACAACATTAAAGTTACTAAAAAGAAAGTGGCGTACATTTTTTTGACAATAATATTCGCTATAGTGCCCCCCGGGACGCCACTGAACCTATTAATTTTAATCTACTTAACTCTTAGTACAACAAATAATATTGCCAAATTTCAACACAATCGAGTAAATATCTTTTAAGATAAAATATTTTTTTTTCCAATTTATCACAATGTATCTTGAAAACGATGCGTTTCCGGACCCATGCTTATAGTGGGGTTCGCGCTGACGTCGCCATCTAGCGGATGTCGATTAGAAATATCTGTGCTTGACATGTGATGTATAAAAATAAGTGGAGAAAGGACACCAATGCTGTTCGTGCTGTAAAAACGTTCAAGAAACTTGGCGTCTGGAGTACACGTGGTGCTTTGACAGGGTTGCCATGTTGGAGGATTTTCCTCCAAATATGGGAGATTTTTCTTGAGGAATTTTTTGGGGATATAATGTTCTGGGAGATATCACACGTTCGGCTGATACGAGAGTTGTTTCAAAAATAAGGTTACCACATTTTTTTCAGGCACAAGGAATTTTTTATTTGAAAAACAAATTTACCATTGCAAATGTTGATCTATTTTTCTACAGAGTCGCCATTTTTTTTCTATTCATTTTTGCAGACGTGTAATGCGCCTTTGCATTCCGCCTCAAGGAATTCCGGCGCCAGCCCATTTAGAAATTTTGTAACTGCTTCTTGCAACTCCTCATCCGCCTCAAACCTGTGACCGCCTACGTGCTCCTTAAATTTGGGAAACAGCTTGAAATCCCTAGGTGCCAAATCGCTCGATTAAGTCCTTCGTTTGATGTACGACAATTTTGGATTGCTTGTCTCAGCTTTTTCAGAAGCCTCAGGAATTTCAACCGCTAGTTCTCGGATCGTGATTCGTCGATCTTCAAGCAAGATTTGATGGATCGTCGTCATAACTTCCTCGGAGATGCTTCGTTGTTCATCGTGGACGTCCATGCGTCCGTCTGAGCACTCTCTTCATCATTTGAGGACATGATGACTGTTTATGCACGCTTCCCCATATACTTCACTCAAGTGGCGATGAACTTCTATGGGTGGTCACGTTTTTGCTTGCAAAAATCGGATGACCACACGAATTTTGCACCTGGCGGTGACGGCGATGAACGCCTCCATTGCACGGGGCTCTCGGGCCGGTACTGAGCATGGCAAATAGGGGCTTCTTGTTGGGATCGGCGGTGGGGGAGTCGTCGAACTCGATGGTGTTGCCAGATTTCGCCTAGCATCACACGCGGCAAAAATACAGCGTTGGGAAACTTATATTTGAGACAACCCTCGTACAACATGCATTTTTAAAAATCTAGCGAAAAGCCATTTTCCATGAGTTTTCTTCGGGGTCTTGAACAAATAAATGCATGGCAGGTTTCTTGAGGTATTGTAAACAAAATTGAAATCTTCCACAAGTGTGGTACGACGAACAAGACGACTATAGGTTATTATTTGATCTCACCCGAGAAATAATTTATTCAAAAAACTATATACTCAAAATAGATAATTGTCTATCGTAGAACCTCATAGTTTATCCTTTATAATTGCCATGAGTTTTTCGAGTTTCAAAGCTTGCTGCATATTTCCTTCAACTTTCATTCTTTCCATCATGAAAGCAGTAGCGGGCTTTAACTGGCCTGAGACCATACTGAAAAAATGTTTGCAATCCATGGTGATAGTTGCATCGGGTTTTACTGAAGGTTCTCCAGGTCCACAACTTCCATTTTCGTTTTTCAAGTCAATATACCTGGAATAGACAGAAAAAACTTACACACAGGCTTGTATATGGTAGCCATAGCAGAACGAAGCAATCTAATACAGTTAAAGGCTTCTCGTTCACTGAAAGCGCCGGCTGTTTGAGCAATACATTGGGAGAAAGAACTCTTATGTTCAATGAAAATAAAATAAAATAAATTACAGTATATAATTGATTTCACAAAGTTATGAGAAACTATTTAAACACAATAATACCTGCAATTATCAATAATGCTGACAACTACTTCGAACAAGTTAGGGATAATATGGACAAATATATGATAGAATCTATGGTCACGGATATAAGTATATGAAGGACTAAGTCAACACTGTGGTTTTCATGAATATTAAAATAGTCTAAATTAAAACGCGATGACTACTCAGGAGAGAAAGGAAAAATACTATGATAATAAGATCGATAGCAATAAAAATAATTCTAAAATGATGCGGAAAACATTAAAGAATATTGTTTCTCTAAATAGAAAGACTGAATTATCTAAAATGCGTTTCGCAGACTGAACTACACAGAAACGACTTTTTGTGACAGATGGGGCAAGCTGGTTTAGTGTTTAGTGGACGAAGACTCGATCAACTCTTATACAGAAAATTCACGCCCATTATAGCATAGTGAGTTTCTTTTTTACTAACCACTTTCCTGTTTCTTGACCGGTCAAATTAAAAACAAAGATAGCTCTTGTTTTTTGTACCATTTCTGGTGAGATTGAGGTCCCAATTTTCTTGAATAGGCTGGCAACGTCGCCGTGTGGTTGCTCTTCAGTTTTGCTACCCGCAGCATTTGGTTTTTCTTCTATCTTTTTGCTTTTTTTTCTAGGTACATAGAAATCTAGAAAGCAGCAAGCTATTAATATATGTCCTTTCAGTTTACCTATACGCAATCCACAAAGTATTTTAAATACGAGATACACGTATACTCCGTCCATGTTTGTTAAACTAAGAGCAGCTATAAGTCAGACCCGCCAGATTCTCCCATTCAAACCGTGTCGAACGTCGTACATCCAGAACTGGTCGGTACGACTATTCCTTTATCCTACGTAATTACACTGGACAACAAATTTTAGTTTTTTAATTGTATCTTGTGGGAAAAGTACACTTTTTGTTAATTTTGGGGCGCTGAATCCAAAAATGACAATGAAATAAAAAATTAGTTGCAGTTTAAAAAAAAAACTTTTTATTTTTAAGGATATATTAAAAAAAGTAACAACATATACTTATAAGAATCACTATATGCGCTGTCTTTTTGCTGTTCTTTTATGGATCGTTTCTGGAGCATCTCTACCAAGAGTCCAACAGTAGTCTGCAAGCATGGAAGGATTCCACTTTCCCTGGTACCTTTTTTCCATATCCTGATGAAAACGTTCGCCGTGCTCATCACTTACGGCTCCGCAATTGTCAGGAAAAAAGTCCAGGTGTGAGTGTAGGAAATGTATCTTAAGAGACATATTACAGCCCATCTTTTGATACGATGGCAGCATATTTTTGACAAGGGTTTTATAGTTGTCAGCTTTTCTATTTCCCAAGAAATTAGTGACCACCAGACGGAAATCATTCCAAGCAGTTTTTTCAATACCTGTTAAAATGTTTTCAAACTGTGTATCTTTTAAAATATTTCGAAACTGTGGCCCAACAAAAATACCTTCTTTAACCTTTGCCTCACTTAGTCTTGGAAATTTCTGACGCAGGTATTGAAAAGCTGACCCATCTCTCTCTAATGCCTTGACAAAGTTTTTCATTAGGCCCAACTTGATATGCAGTGGTGGTAATAATTTTTTTTTCGAATCTACTAATGGCATATGCTGTACATTTTTTTGACCTGGCTCTAGGAATTGACGAACAGGCCAGTTTTGTCTGGTGTAATGAAGTGCCTTTGCCCGACTGTCCCATTCACACAACAAACACCAAAACTTTGTGTAGCCTAGCTGCAGCCCAAGTAAAAGTGCAACAACTTTCAAATCGCCACAAATATGCCATTGGTGCTCATCGTATTTTATGCATGTCAATAGGTACTTCATATTGTCATATGATTCTTTCATGTGAACTGCATACCCTACAGGAAGAGATGGTAAAATATTTCCAATATGCAATAACACTGCCTTTAAACTCAATGTTGAACTGTCTATAAACAATCTCCATTCTTCTGGGTTATAGTTTATATTTAAAGCCGCCAGTAAGCCGTTAATGTTCCTGCAGAAAACCAAGTTATTCTCCGTATTGAAAAATGGTTCTAAGTCTTTGTGGCGTTTACGAAAAACACATACCGAAACATCGTCTTCTAACAAGTTCCACTGCTGCAGTCTTGATCCAAGTAACTCTGCCTTACATTTTGGAAGTTCTAAATCTCTTACAAGATCATTTAATTCTGTGTTATTTTGTGCGTTTGGTGGCATGACGTGCTCGGTATAAAATCAGGATTTCTTGACGTTGATCTTCTTCCTGACGAATCACTCGATCGCCATGATCTGACTCGTTTTCTGATTCGCAAGTGTAGGATTCTGGGGGTTTTGGAATAGGATTTTCGTCACTGTGAGGCACAGGTCTCATCGCAGATGGTATGTTTGGAAAGTTAATAACCGATTTTTTTTTTGGACATACCTGTGACTTGTCCAACACAAGGTACCATGCAAAAGTAACAATCATTAATATGATTTGTAGGCTCTCTCCAAACCATTGGGACAGCAAAGCGCATAGACCGTTTTTTGCCATTAAACCAGCTCCTCAGACTTGAAGCACATGTATTACGGCAGATGTGGGGTGCCCACTGTTTGTCTTGATCACCTAGTTTACAACCGAAATAAAGCTGATATGCCTTTGTTATTAGTGGAGTAATAGATCGTCTCTGAGACGCAAAAGTCACCACACACGTAACAAAACTGATCTGGATTGTTTACACACTTTCGAGACATCTTGCATGAACGCTGTCAGCCAACTGAGGAAAAAATGGCTAATATAAAACAATATAATGTACACGTATGTATAACGTAACACAATCATGCCGATTACATCATCTTTCCTTGCCGAATATAAAAATGTAGCACGTGCATTCTTGTGAATTACAGTATATTAAAACTGTCACAGCAGGAGCACATATAATTACCGTATCTCTAAAACTTGAACTAATATTGAAAAAATAAGTTTCATTCCGGTTTTAGCACATTAAAAATAGTAACATTTTGTTGATTTTATTTAGAATATTTTTTGGCTGTTGATCAGTGTTATCGTTCGTACAACTTTACTGATCTTTTTTTAAATTTCATGTCTTTGTACTTGAGTTAGTTGTAACTTTTATGCCTCAAATGAAAGCTTGTTAGATAGAGATATTATTTACATAATTTGCACATTTCATTACTAGGAGATTTTTTACAGAAAATTGCATTTTATCGAATAAGTTAGTAAAAAAATAAAAAAATCATACATTTCAAAAGCGTAATTTTAAAACTTTTGTAAGTTTTCAACATTTTATTACTTATTATGAACTATTGGAATGTCCGCTATGCGACGATAACAAAAAACTCAAAATCAAACGTGTAGTTTTTGTGTATTTCAAATTTAACCGTCTGAAATCGGAATAAAAAATAAAAAAAATAAAATTCAAATAACTCAAAAACGGTTAACTTCTTCATTATAGGACAAAATCGGTTGCTTTTGACCTAATCTATCACCCCTTAACAGGAATACGTGACATTACAAGTGACCCTGTATGTATCGGTGTTCGGGATATCATACTGGAGTTCTATGATCGCCTAACACGTTCTAAAATGATTAGGTTGCAATCGCATCAGGCTTTCTGCTTGCGAAGATTCGTACACTTACCTTTTGAAAGATATGGTATAGACCCGTCGAAGAATAAATCTGGCAAGATCCTGTCTTGGTTATCTGGTGCGTGTAGATACTGAGTCATATCAGTAATCCCAGCATCATTGAGCACTTTTTCATCCACAAAGAAATTTCCAGTGCAATTTTTCGGGTCCTGGGTAATAATAGCATAAGCTGCATCAGCTACCATCTCTGGCTTGCGACCAAAGGATTTTCTTTCTATGCCTTCCTGTATCAAGTCCATGGCTGATGTATGAATTGCTAGAAACATCATTGATATTGTATAACATGGAAATAACACTGGAAAACAAAGTGGCAGATCAGTATAAAACACGAGACCAATAATAAGAACATGTGCCCATTAAGCAAAATCACTTGCTGCGGCTGTTCTAAGAATGTCCTCTAATATAAATATCACGTGCTCATCAATAGGATATGCTAACAATATATACAGCACGTTGTAAGAATATTCATGTCAAATGAAAATATGTTCTAAGAATGTGCCCCTTGACCGTTTTAGTAAGATCTTTTCTTGCCGCAAGCCTCTACGATGGATATGTTCCCAGATACATGAGCTTTGTCCCAACCTTTAGGCCTTGTCCAGGAAGGGCGAATTCGCCGCGATTCTCTCGCGCGTGTTTCGCGCTACCGTTGCGTCCACACATAGCGTACCAACGCGCAAGCACTCAGGGAGGAATTCAGTACGAAACATGGAGTTGAACGAAGCGGTCTCGTTGTGGTTAGCTTACCGTCGCTGGAAGAGACAGAGACGGAGGGAAAATAGAATGTATTTAGTACATCCAATTCTTCATGATAGAATGACCCATAGTATGTTTGAAACTTTGTATCCAAAATTAAGACAACATGAGAAGAAATCTTTTAACTACTTTCGTATGTCCGTGAAATCGTTTGATGATTTACTCTTATTAATTGGAGAAGATTTATTGCCACGTGCAAATTATGTTCCGCGTGAGGATGTTGTTTCACCAGAACAGAAACTCGTGATAACTTTAAGGTAAGTAGTGTTTTATTCATAATCTCTTCTATTACTAACACAGTCTTTTAAAATAAAAAAATATTCTTACTAATAAAAACGAACTAAATGTAGTATGAGATTAAATATAATAATTAAACAATGTCATGGTTTTGGAAGAGGTTAAGACATTCACTATCCTGAGAATCTCTTGATGATGTTGATGGAGAATTTACGTATAATGCTGCCTGTGAAGATCCTGGCACTGAATTAGAATTGCGGCCTTGCCAAGTTGTTACGGGTGGCGTTTCTGGGTCGTATTCTTTTGGTCTTGTAGGTTGTGCATGGTATCGAACCGGAATTGAAGTTGAAGATGAAGCCGAACTGTTAGAAAAGTACGAATACGAATTGTTTGAATACACAGTTGATTGCGAAGATTGTTGAGCCGCTTGCAAAATTTTCATTAATTCAATTTTTACTGCTATACGATTAGCCTCAGGTACCTTAAGTAATTCTTTGTGTAAAGATAAGCAGAACAGTTTGTCATCATCACCTTCCATTACGCTGGAAAGCAGTGGCTGTTGTTGATTCCTAGAGCTTATATTTTTGTTAATTATGTTCAGGAATTCAGCATCAGTGGCAGTCATTTTCTTTCTTTTAATATTTTGATTCGGCGGCCTCATTATGTCTTCCCTTGCATCTGCTGTAGACTCTTCGTTACCTGTCTCTGAGTTTTCTGAGGTGTCTTGAATATTGCTTTCTGTTTTTTCATTACGTACTGACCTTTCGAGAAACATAAGACGTTGAAAATATATATATTGAATCTTCGAAGCTCCTGAGCCTGATGGTGCATTCTTTGTTTTTTTCATTTCACGAACAAATGTGTCGCGAAGGCCTTTCCACTTTTTTTGAAGAGTATTACCTGAAATTAACAATTTCACAATAATTTTCAATTTTGTTTCAGGTACTTAGCAACTGGCTGTTATTTTGCTGACTTACATTATGCCTATAGATTAGGAAAATCAACTGTAATTGACATCGTTCAAAAAACTGTGTATGTTATTTGGAATAAGTTAAAAGATAAATATAGTAATGAAAGAACCTTCGACAGAAGAGTGGATGGAAATTGCAAGAGGATTCGAAAAATATACACATTTTCCTAATTGCATTCGAGCAGTTGATGGGAAACATATTAGAATTATAAAACCTTTAGATATGTTCTACAATTACGTATAAACATTTTTTTTTCGACTGTGCTGCTTGCCGTATGTGATGCAAATTATTGTTTTATCTCTATAGATGTTGGAGCATGTGGGAAGAGCAATGATTCAACGATTTTTAAAAACTCCACATTCTTCAAAAAACTCACGGAAAAATCTTTGAACATTCCGGGACCAAAACCAGTCTCAGAAATTCGTACAACACGTTTACCTCATGTTATAGTTGGAGATGAGGCATTTAGCTTATCAGAACATATTATGCGACCATATTGCGGCAAGAATTTAACCAAAGAAAAACGAATATTTAATTACCGCCTCTCTAGAGCAAGACGTTATATTGAGTGTTGTTTTGGAATCCTTCAAACAAATGGAGAATATTTCACAAACCACTCAATGTACACATTGAATTTTCGGAAAACATAATTAAAGCTTGTTGTGTTCTTCACAATTACGTCAGGTTAAGAGATGGATACAGATACGAAGACACATTGTTCGAAACAACTCTAGATGGTCTGAGTACGACTACAATTCGACCTGGTGTAAGGTCTCGAAACACGAGGGATATATTCGCTGATTATTTCATGAAGGAAGGTCGACTGCCGAGGCAAGAAAAAATGATCTAATTTTCTTTGTTTGTTACCAATCAATAAATTAATAATAATTACGTACATAAATCTTTCTTTTTTTCCTCGGAGTCATCTTTATCAGAAAATACTGACACCAGTTCTTCCCAAGACCTACGTTTTAAAATCCTGTTGGCATAATCAGGTGATTCCAAATCCCATATCGCCGGTCTTTTTTCTATTTCGTCTATAAACAATTCCGTGTCAAAATTTTGGTGCTCCATTTCCCTCGATACGTGCACTCGCTCTAGAGTTCGTGCGTTAACTGGACGCAACAAGGCGTTCCCTAGTATCTCGACTCGCGAGTCGAGAGTCTGGCGTAGTGCACGGGATTTACGCGCGTATTTTGAATTCGCGCGATGCTTGTGGACGCGACGTATTGATGTCAAGTATCTCACTAACGCGCGAATGATTTCGCGCTAAACGTTTCGCGGCGAATTCGCCCTTCCTGGACAAGGCTTTAGTGCTAGTATCGTACCAGAACCGTTCGATTATCGTGTTACACGCATGCGCGGCCTGTCATGGTTCTAGGATCGCTTCTGGACTGTAAAAAGTGTTGGACCGGATTCGGAATCGTTTTTTTCCTCAGAATTGACAGGATAGCCAATGTTGCCTGATCTACCAATTTTTCGGCATAGCTATGAAGAGAGAATAAAATGTACTAAGTGCTAACGTTAAAAGAGCTTCATGTGAATCATTGGTTTTATATCTGTGGTACATTACTCTGATATCTTACGAGCCCCTTCCCACTTCAGTAGGCCCACTTCAAGATTTGTACCAAAATATGCCTTTATAAACTAAACATGACGAAACCATTTACTTCTAAAACAATTTATTTTCTCAAAAACATTTTAGATACACGAGCTTCATTGGTTTAATATCTGTGGTACATTACTCTGATATCTTATATTACAGTTACCTGGACTGTGATAAAGATGCGTTTACAATAAGTTCAAAATCCCTAATGTAGATTTGTTTATGGACTAAAAAATATGATCATATGTCAGCAACGATGAAATAAAACTGGTTGGCGGACTGTGTAAAGAAAACTGTACTCTAATATGTCTATCTTACATTTGACTATGAATTAGTAACGACTTCCACCCTACCATATTCATTTGAAAAACTTACACTTTCTGAAGTTAAGGCAAAGAGATATAACTTGAGCGTATTTCGTCACCATTCATCCATTCAACACTATTTCAGAGAAGATATCTTTTTCTTGAGGATACTGATTGTAATTCTGTGTATTACATTTTTCTGAATTCTTGTGTAATGTACATTTTAAATATACAAATAGCCTTTGGCTAAATTTCGCCCTTCATAAAGCCGGTATATTACTTTTATTATTGTATGAAGTCGCAAATACTTAGGTACATTCACTCCAACAAAGTACAGGGCTGGTATTTGTCGATCTGGCAACATTGCTGGTAGCTGTCAGAATCATCTAACCTAACCGCCATTTGCCGTTTGTTTTGGTTTATAGCTCTTCTACGCATGTCAGTTCCTTTAACCTCAAATAGGACCTCTTACGCTCAAAAAGCGAAGAAAACTATGTCCACTTCTGCCCCACCAGCCGCCACTGCTACTGGAACTACTGCGCAGAAGCAACACGGCGATGACAGACTGCTAGCAATGATGCAAGCCATCATAACCCGCCTGGATGCACTTGAAGCCAAGATGCAAGACAAGCATTAGACCCGTAATGACTACAGGGCAAAAAGTTGAATCTCTACGCATTATCTCCTGGAACATCAACGGATTCAGGGCACGGAAACCAGAAATCTAGGAGATACTAGACCAGTACCAACCAGAGGTGATAGCCATCCACGAAACGAAATTGGATGCTGCCCATAGTCTGACGTTCCCGCGGTACGAGACGTACCGCTATGACAGAAGAGGCAGAGGTGGAGGAGTCGCATTACTCGTCAAACGTACCTTGACGAGTCATGTCCTCGACGACGCCGCAGACATCAATGGGGACGGAATCACGGTCCAGGTCCATCGCAACCACAGTCCCTACAGAATCACCTACCTATATGTGCCACCAGGGGAGGCCCTAGACGAAGATGACATCGCTGACCTCCTGAGAGGCCCACGAGCACACATAGTCATCGGAGATCTAAACTGCAAGTCTCCGGCATGGAACAACAACGCCGAAGACAGGAATGCAAGGCAGCTCCAAGAACACGTCGATGCCCTGACGGGGGTCATCGTCGGTCCGGAGCAACCAACATACATTCCATTCGGCCTTGGGCGAGCTGCGGTACTGGACATAGCCATCCTCCGCAACATCAGAGAGGAGTTCGAGATAGAGACCCTGGTGGAAGGATCGTCGGACCACAATCCGATCCTACTAACACTTGGCACAGGGTCTACAACTCGAGATAGCTTGAGCACCAAACGGACGAACTGGAACCACTACAAATCCAACGTCCAAAGGAACATCACTCAAATTCCAACCATCCGATCAGCGGAGGAACTGGACAACGCAGTAGAGGAGCTGGAGAATGCTGTCCTGCGAGCGCACGAGGGCAGCACCTGCTCCGAGACTACGGCAGTTCCTAGACGTCTAAATGGTCCAGCACCGCACCATATTAGGCACCTGATCAGGGAGAACAGAAGACTCAAGCGAGAACATCTCCAACTGTTGACAGAGGAGTCGAGAGTTGTGCGAAACAGAGCATCGCTAGCTCTGAAGAACGCACTCGCGGAACTCCAAAACAGCAGATGGAATGCAGCCTGTGCAGAACTAGAGACCCAGGATGGTACGGCCTGGTCTATGCAGCGAAAATTTCGTCGTCAGCGCACCACGATCCCCACTCTTCACGACCAACATGGGTTGGCCTACTCCAGTGAAGAAAAAGCCGAAGCATTCGCCGATTAGCTAGAATCCGAATGCAGACTCAATTACCATGAAGACGAGGACGACAACCACGAGGAGGCCGTGGAAGTCGCAGCCAAAATCATGAGGAGACGACCACCTGGCCAGGAGACGGATCACCCCTCCAGTCCAGAGGAAATCCGTCTGATCATCCGCAGGTTGAAGGTCAGAAAGGCGCCGGGAAGGGACGGCATCAACAACAGGATGCTGAAGAACCTTCCCTCCAAAGGCATTGCTGCGCTCACCAACATCGCCAATGCCACTCTGAGACTTAACCACTTCCCGCGGCGGTGGCGGGAAGCCCAGGTTATAATGCTCACCAAGCCAGGCAAGTACCGGAAGTTTCCCCAGAACTACCGGCCCATCAGCCTGGTTTCCTCGATGGGCAAAGTAGTCGAAAAGGCTATCGCCGTTCGACTAGAGAAGCAGGCAGAAGAACTGGAACTTCTCCCCCCAGAGCAATTCGGCTTCAGATCCTCCCACAACACGGAACTCCAAGCGCTACGACTGACAGAAAACATCACCACACCACATCGATGCAAACATGTGCCAACTGATCCAGAGCTATCTAACACAAAGATGGTTCACGGTGAAGATTGGTACATGCCACTCAACAAGACGACAGCTGGAAGCAGGCGTGCCCCAGGGGTCAGCCTTAGCCCCCCTGCTCTACAACATCTATACTCACGACGTACCGAAGACCGCTGACACAATGCTGGCCCTATATGCAGACGACACTGCTATAGCCGCCAAGCATCGACGACCCGAGATCATCCGTAGGAGACTACAGGATGAACTGGACCACATCCAGGACTGGTGCGTGAAATGGAAAATCCGCATCAACGTCCAGAAGACGCAGGCAATCTTCATCCAACGAAGAAGGATTGCAAGACCTCTCGAAGCATCCATCTTCGACGAAGATATCCAGTGGAGCGACAAAGTCAAATATCTGGGGATCGTATTTGACAAGTCCCTCACCTGGAAAGACCACATAGAAGCTGTCATCGCAAAGACCAGAGCAGCCATGGCTCAACTCTACCCATTACTGGGTAGACACAGCCGGATGCCGCTAGCGACCAAGCTACGGCTGATCAAGGCCATCGCCAGACTTCAGCTCGCTTACGCCTCCGCGGTCTGGGGGTACGCTGCCCCCAGCTACCCCAAGCGACTTGCTGCTCTAGAGATGAAGCTACTCCGGATCGCCACCAGTGCACCATCCTACGTAAGAAACTCAACCTTGCGTAGAGACCTGCATTGGGACACCATTCACGAGTACATGAGGAAAAAAGCGGAGAAGACCTTCCAGAAAGCTCTGGACCACCCGAACGAGCAGCTTCGATTCCTCATGGACTACGATCCGGACGAGAGGCCTCGCAACCGCAGAACCAGGTACCCTAGACCAAGGTCCCAGTTGGCACCCGCTAACTGGAACCTTGACTAGGAGACTAGGAGAACCCGCGGTTGCTCCCCTCCACAGCGTGGATGCAGAGGACCAGGAACCACCGGGACCAGGACCCACCGGGACCAGGACTCGCCACGACCAGGACCCTTAGGGACCAGGACCAGGAACAATATAATATAGGTAAGAGGACTTGAAACTCTTGATTTTTCGAAAACAAGAGTTTCAAGAGAACCTAGAAGACCCTCTATCGATGATCGCTTAACGACATCGATAGAATGTGCGAGGTAAAGGGAACCAACCCGGCGTTCCCAGAGACTGAAACACTTGAGGAGACGTTGTAGCAGACCGCAGGTCACGCACAACACATGGCCTACCGAGACGCTGATGAGTCGGGCCACGCGGAGGTTAGGGTTTAGTGGGTATTAGGTGGTCTCCTCAAGACAACCTGGAGTCCCACACACGCCGTAGCTCGGGCTATGGTATGGTGCATAAACGCATTCCCCCCTCACAAAAAAAAAAGTTCCTTTAGTTCTCGCTTCAGTGCAGGTACAGTACAGTACCGATATCACCATCACAAAACCGTCCCAAATCGATCCCAAAACGGGTTGGAACACAATGCAGAACCGTTCTATTACTGTGACGGACAAGGTTGGAACACTTTTTCCTAAATGCGCAAGCGCGTCACCGTTCCAGGACGGTTCTACGACGGGTTGAGACAAAGCTAGTTCCTCGCATTCTTAGTTTCTTTGGTAGGATCTAAAACGTATATTCCAAGAATGTGAGGTATATTCATGTTTACTGGGTGATGAACGTTTCAGTCATCTTGTTTGACTTTCTCAAAGTACGAAATCTATAAACAAAAAGTTGTAATTTTGACATTAGTTGATTTATTGTTATGTTCCTGCAGGGTACGTTGTCTTCATATTATTAGCTTCACTTTCACTTGTCCATTAAAGTACCGCTGGTATAGACTTGCATGTGATATTTGGCCAGAAAAGCAACCTCGCACGGACACAACCACTTAGAAAAATGGATTAAAAGTAAAAAATAACTATTTAAGAACAAATGCTTACTCCTTCTATAAGAAAATGAGTATATTCTACATACCTGACAGAGGCCAGAGGGCATTTACAGCAATGTTGAAAGGTCTAAACTCTTCGTGCATTCCTAGTACACACAAAGACATTCCATACTTGGAAATGGTGTATGCTAAGTGGTGCTTGAACCAAAAAGGGTTCAGATTCAATGGTGGTGACATATTGAGTATGTGGGCATGCTTACTTTTCTTCAAATGTGGCAAGCACAGCTTTGAGCTGAAAGTGTTCAAAAACATGATTGATTTTTTGTTACAAAATAAATAACTAAGACAGTGGCCTGTAGATTGTCGTGAAGTATTGTAGCTCTCAAATGAACTCAACCAGATTTTGTCTTGTTTTTGGCTATCATTTGCAAGTGTCGAGGTTTCTTAAATCTCCACTTTAAGCTTGTATCCATATGTAGCTTACACTAAAAACGTTCCTCTTGTGTTGACATGGTGCATCAATTCATAGAGCTTAATTTTAGTATGTTGAGTACCAGCTGTTGAAATTGCAGATGCATTATTAACTACAATATCTATACCACCAAACTTTTGCACAGCTTCGTCTACGGCATTTTGTATTGCTGTTTCGTCTCTAACATCTACCTTGCAGGGAAGTGCCTTACCGCCTGCTTTTTCAACTAAAAATGAAAAACTGTCAGTAATATAATCAGTGACATTAGAAGTGTTACGTCAGAAAAAATAATTTCTTCAACTTGCTTTTTTGACAACGTAATGACTATATTTAAAACACGCTATGGCGATAATGTCAACGTTTTATCTTTGTTTTTATTTACCTTCGTCAAAATGTTATCTCTTATTTTTTGTGAAGAAAGCAGTTTCTGAGAGCTGAGTACTACAGATATTTTTTATTATTTATATTGTACTACAATGACGGTGATGCGTGTGTGAATAGAAGAAGGTAGAGAAACATGAAGAAGGCCAACTGGTCCACAGAGGCGTACCATAAAGCGTCAAGATTGGCCCTACGAGACCGTTTTGATACAACGCGTCAAATCGCTGACTAATGGTTTGGAGAAGATGGTAGATTAGTTACTGTGCGTACACTCTATCGCCATATTCGAGCCTTTGGACTTTTTTCGTACCGTCCACGGTTAGTGCTTTCTCTGACTGCGGACCACTTTCGTCAACGTTGGAACTGGAGCGGCAACATTGGGAGACAGATTGAGACTGATGTCATCTTCAGCGGCGAATCGCGATTCTGTCTAGGTACGCATGTTGGTCGTGGAAGGGTAAGACGTTGCCGAAGAGAACGGCATGACATTGGATTTGCTTTGAGTGGCATGTACTCAGGAGTTGAAGTAAAAGTTACTAAAAACTTCATGGAAGATCTAAAATTTAAAAAAAATTTTGGTTTCCATTTAAAAATGTAAAGTGTAACGTAATATTTTATTTTTGGATCACCCTGTATTGTACGGCTATACATGAAAAGATGTCCCCCTAAAAATCAATATTGATGCGTCCGAGCGTTTTTCCAAAAATATACTAGGATACTCACAAATGCGGGTGCTACCTTTTCGTTGGGCCAGCCTGTATGTTATATTACCAACATTTTATTTGTATGAATATATGTGAGCTACTTTTATTTAATGTTTTGGCCTCCTATTGTTCTGGTGGTTATTTATAGACATAGGTCTATAATAGTCAAGGCCGGCTTCCGAGATTTGTACACCCTGAAGCAAAAGATAAAATATGCGCCCACATTTTACATGTTTCTATCGATTCGTATTCCATTACAATGCTTGGAAACAAGTCAATTATGCTATATTTTGCTGTCAAAGGTCTCTTAAATAACGGCACTTCTCAGAAACATTTTGAGGATGACGAGCAGTGGTGCTTTGACATTTCTTGAGAGATTTTCTCTTCTAGTTCACCGCTTACTCAGTAACCATTAAATGTTTATGGGTAAATAAAGAAAAACTGTCTTAATTTCTCTTACTTTCTTCGCATACTGAATAAATAGTTCCTGGTAGATCAGCTCGTTCTTGAGTTGTCTTGGCAGCTACTACTACATTGGCTACATCTTTGGCTACTTTTAAAGCTACAGCTCTTCCTATGCCCCGGCTAGACCCTGTGACGAACACCGTTAAACCGGCTAGTTTCCTTGAAAGGTATGAAATAGAAAGGAAAAAGGAAATTTATTGAGAGCATACTGGTATCAAAGAAAAATATCCGTAGGCAACTAGAAGCAGTTATAAAACATTTGAAGTTTATGAAAAATAAATCATAGTGGCATTGTTACTATTCATAGATTTTGCATTGACCTTTGAATATTTTAACATTTATATATCCATACCATAATGAATTCGATTTATTTGCGAGATAAGCAGCTATGGCAGGCTGTTCGAAAAATAGACGGATATATATTAGAGGGTGCTTCCTTGTTGAAAAGTATGAAAAAAAGTTACTATTGGGTGACTTTGAAGTTGAGTCATTAATTTTCAGATAATGATTGTAGAAGGAAGATAAACCAAAATATGTGTGTAAAAATAAAAAAAAATTTTTACCTTGTTTTATATAGTATCCTCCCGACAAGTATTTCAGTGCGGACCTGTATTTGATCGTGAGGTCTTGGAGCAACGGCATGCCATCCCCTGTGAGGTCTTAAGTCACCTGATTCACGAGCCCGTTGTACTACATTAACAAAGGCACGAGGGGTTGGTTGCACTCGATTGGGAAACCGATCCGCATAAACATGAGCTATTTTTTATTTCGTTTGAGCCACGCAACATACACCACTATTCACTCACGCGTTACCGACTGACACTGACTGTATACAACTGAATAAAATAATTGTAAAAACATCGTTCCAAATTCTTTCGCTTTTTTGTTTCCGATGCGATGAACCGATAAGGCGGATTATATCCGTTGTTGCCAAACACGAGCACATAATATTATTATTGAGACAGGGCGGTACTCAAACTTCCAAAGGGCTATAACTTTGTTACTTTAATTTTACCAGAAAAATGGTAAAGGAAAAAAACATTTCTTTTGATCAGATCTACTCACTGTTAAAATAAGTGACTCAACTTCGAAGTCACCCTGTAGATACATAACAAAAATAGGAAAATAATGGGCAAAATCCGCAAAAAGTGGATTCGAGCAGAAAATAGGATAGGTAACCCGAGCGATATATATTTCTGCTGGTTGGCTTCGTCAGGCCCGGAATGAATGCACATATGCAACAACAAAAGTAGATACACTTGCCCATACATCCGGATACGGGTGTAAGCTGAGGAAACGAAGATGGAGAGGAAAAAAAAAGATACAAGAAGTCCTCAACAAAAGCCAACCTACAAATTGTAGTATAAAATGGCTAGAAGACCTCGAATTTTCAAGGCCACAAATAACCACAACCACTTGCTGTGGTAGTTCAAGCCCAAACGATCTACAAAGAGAAAATTATCATGCGGAGAAAGGTATATAACAAAAATAGGAAAATAATGGGCAAAATCCGCAAAAAGCGGATTCAGGCCGGCAGAAATACGTATCGCTCGGGTTACCTATGATATTTTCTTCTCGAATCCATTTTTTGCGGCTGTTGTCCATTGTTTTTCTATTTTTGTTATATACCTTTCTCCGCATGTTAATTTTCTCTCTCTCTCTCTATATATATATATCGTCGGACATCTGACAATACCTTATCAATCTTATACTACCGGCGTTAAGACTCTACAACTTTGGTCACAAAAAATAAATGACGTTTAACGTCTGATCTAAATATTCTCGAACACGTAATGCGTAATGTGGTGGGGCACCGTCCTGTTGGAACATCAACCTATTCGCAATGTACCGCCGATCATTCTGATTCATTAAGTTCTTGCACCAGGTAAATTTTATACGGATGAAAACTGTGGGACAGTACGTCGACTAACACCATTCACAGTCTCCAATTTGCGGGTACTTAACGTAGGATCTACATAAACTTGCCCTAAAACCCCCACTTCTATTGCTTCGTTCCTTATGGGATTTTCAATGTTGCGTTTTTTATTGGCGACTGACCCAGTTTCCCGAAATTTAGCTACTAGTTCTAGAACATATTTTCGATGCACGTTACTGTTCTCATGTCGCTCATTAAATATTTCTGCTGTTCTATTAGCGCACTGATTATTTCCGAAAAATGGGGGCTGCACGTGTTAACGTGATTTTGTATCAAACTTGTGTCCCCCTCGAAAACAAAATCGACAGGTCTGAGTGTTTTAAAAAAAAAATCTGAGCTGCCAGTAAATGCGTCTGTTTCGTTTTCGATGCGCCACCCTGTATATATAATAGATTAAAATTATTAGGTCTAGTGGCGTCTCGGGGGCACCTTAGCGAATATTATTTACAAAAAAGTACGTCACTGCCTTTTTTATAGCTTTAATATTTCTCGTTTGATTAAGCATCTAAAAATACAACTCTTTGCCTCTTGTATCTGTTTTATTGCATGTCACTGAACAAAATTGGTTTATTAATTTTTGCTAAACAAATCACAAGTACCATTGAAAAAAAATCAAAAAAATATAGGAAATATGATAATAATAAAACAAGCGAGTCAAAAACGCAACGCAAAACCAACATATCGCGTTCTCCCCAGCTCCGCATAGTATAACGTAAGGCACAGTGCTTAGCGCCATGTGCGCGGTATGAATACATTCATTTAAAGCTGTGTTCTTGTTCTTCTAGCTTGCCCCTGGGCTGTAAAGTAAAGCGCACAGCTCCAAGCGAAGCGCCTCCGATGTAAACGTACAACTTGGTATAAGCACGTGCATACATTACATGCATGTACGCAATTTCCTCAAAAGTGTAATTTACTATAAAAAAAACGAAACAAAAACTTTTTAGAGAAATTTCGCAAAGCAAATTTCGTGAATAATTCTTAGGCTGTTAATACAACAAATATTGCCAAATTCTAACAGAATCGATTGAATATTTTTTAAGATATTAATAAAAAACCCATGTTTATAAAAACTTTTTTTCATATTTTTAAACAATGAATCACCCTCTAAAATATCTCCTATTTTTCGATTACCCTGTATACGGCAGGCCTTATTTTTACAAAGCAAAACATGTGAATTTCAAATTTTATGCCAATCTGCCCTCCACTCGTCCAGATGGTTTTTCTATTTGGTACTCCTGCATTCCTCTAAGATTCCATGAAGTCGGCGATTGTTCTTCGGATTCAAAATAAAACTATGTGTGGTTGCGCGTATAAATATTTTTCAAAATTAAAGATGCGGTGCTAGTTTACGAAGACCCGTTTATATACTAAGATAGAAATGATCCTGAATCACTGATTTGCGTTATCTCACAATGGAGAATGTGTTAATCCTTATACAAAATGAATGCCAGTATTCGATAGGTTAAATACTGTGGAATATTAAAATACATACCCCGAGTTCATAGTCCTTTGTTGTTTTTTTACGCTATGTACGTACACCTCCGATGCACACCTCACAAATGCGTACGCGCGAAGTTCTAGCTACGTTATAGATGCATCAGTACGGCGGAAGGCGTCGGATGAAGTTAGTATCAACTATGAAACCACCAAACTTGTGTTGGGCAAGTTGGTAGACCACGTAAACGAACATGTTTAAAAACAAAACCAACCAAAATTAATATCTAAGGTCCGTATCGTCAATCGCCTTTATCGCCTACTTGATTTTCATAGTTTCCTCTTTCCTTCAGAAATACTGGGGTATTTCTAGATTTCTACTGTTCCCTGTCAGCGCCAGCAGCCTCCCATTGCCAAGGTATGTTTTCAGGCTGATAAAACAGATGATATAAATCAAAAGCCTGATAGAAATAGATATTTGCGCCCTAACCTCAAAATAGAGCGCTGACGATATACTAGAAGACTATGAAAATAAAGGAAGCCATCAAGGCGTTCTACAGTTGTAGGAACGACTGACGATACGGCCCTTATTGTCCTACCTCAAAATCATCCTTCTACTGGTCATTCTGTATTTTTGACAGTAAGTTCACCCACTGGAAATAAAACAGAAGCCTCCAACTTTAGAATGGATATACAGGGTGTTTCAGTTTATTGTTGCATAACTTTAAGATTCGATAGACCTTTTGAAATTAATGCATAAAGTTTATATCAAATTGGGTCGTAAAATGCGTGGCTTCAGAAATACAGGGTGTTTAAATTTACTTTCTAAAATAGTTTTTTTTAAATATTTCGAACAATATTTGGTGTATAACAGTGAAAATTGATATACAAGGGTTTTTTGGTACGACAAAACGAACCATGGACATAGTTTCACTGTAGCCGTTAGACGGCGCTCTCTACTGTACCTGTAGTGTATTAAAATGACCGAAAATTTTTCCTTAGTGCAATTTTTTGCTTTTTGAATAAAAAAACTGATTCTTCGCACTTTTCAACATAAAAAAGCTCTCTTGCGAATTTTCGTTATAGTTAGCCGTTTTTGAGATATTTCGATTTTTAAGGTTCGATGCATGTTTAATTATTTATGATAAAATAACGTTAAAAAGTCAGTATCTCGATAATTTTTAGAAGTAGGCTGTGCCTGCAAATATTTTTGAAATTGAAAGCAGAATAAGGTTAAACGTCAATTAGTTGACAGTTAGTTTTGTTGTCTGTTGAAACCTGAAACGTTTTTTTGCAATTGTGAATGCACGAAATTTAGTTTCTTTTACCTGTTTTTTTTTTGTAAGTTTTATAAAAAAGCCATATTTATTCTCCAATCAAGAGTTAGCGGATATTCATTTTGTGTATGGCTTTGTGAATGGAAACGCAACAGAAGTAGCCAGAGAATACGCACGAAGATTTCAACCCGCTCAGTATTTGTAAGAGTGCATCGCCAAATAATTGAAAATGGTTTTGGAAATCTCCAAAGGGATCAAAACAGAAATGTTCGTCAGCGCAGATTTACCCGTATGATTCTGCGTGAGTTTGATAGAGATCCGACCACAAGTGTTAGGAGAGTTTCTGGTGCCTTGGGAATTTCAGCAAGCCTTGTTCACCGTGTTCTTAGAAATGACCATAGACGTCCTTACCATTTGCAACCTGTGCAAGGACTACAGCCAGGGGACGGAGAACGAAGAATCACAGTTTGTCAGTGGATTCTTGATAGAACTGATAATAATAGGGAGTTTTTAAGTAACGTTTTATGTACCGATGAGTCATGCTTCACTAGACGTGGAGTGGTAAATTTTCATAATCAACATATTTGGTCGCATGAAAATCCGCATGCAGTTCGGGTAAAGAAATTTTCAGCATGAATTTAGTGTGA